CGTGACGCTAGATGTCACATGATCGCGACTGTATCGGTCAGTGCTCGATTATACGATAGAGTAAGACGCAAAATGCCGTGACATATTTCATTGTGAAGACGGGCGTAGATGCGCTACGTTATGAAAAACGAAGTTTAACCGCCGCCGTCCACTGAGGGGCTGAGCCGCTCTACTAGCGGATCGTAACATCCAGCTCGCTGCTGCTTTGGAGGTTACCAGTCAATATATCACCTTACGAATGCATTTGAAACCACAATATTATTACTTAATGTCTATCTTAAGCATATCTGTATTCTTCTCGACTTTAATGTGGTTGAATTCATCATTTCATGGAGCGTAGAAATTACAACATTTTTTAAAAAATTATATCACATTAAGGACAAGGGCCTCCTGCTCGCGCAGATAATTATTAATCCTTCTCTAATGAAGTGATACAATGATGATGAAGGGTGAAGGGACGATCACAAATATATCCCGAGGTGGGATTCGAATCCGCGATCCGACATCGCCACGACACTACTGTCTTCGCGATTTCGGCTATCCGGTCGACCATTGACATATTAGCCTTAAGTAAATAAATCATTTAACCTCTGCCATCCATGCCACCCTCCAACAATGAAATTCGTCGAATAACTTCTCAAATATCAACCACTACATTGTACGGCAACGCTGCGTACGGTGGTAATATCAAATTATCGCAATAAAAGTTTCGTACAAAATTATGATACTAATTATTTTCCAATTTTCTTTCATATTACATTAAATAGTATTTTAAAAAGAGAAAACATTACAGGTCTAATTTTAATTAATATTTGCTGATATTTGAAATATATCAAAACATTGAGAATACAAATTGTAGAATTATTAAAAATGTAATTAATATTGTGATTTTCAATAGTAAATTATAATTAAAATCACATTAATTATTTTTCATATCCTTTTAAACCATTCTTGTTTTCCGTGAAATTTACACGTGGCTCGTAGTTGGTGGGACACCTGTATACATTTCAATAAATTCAAGTGAAAATCACGCGATAACTACAATTTGTTTTCAAATATAGATAAAGTCCTTTTTAATGAGCTGCGTTTTGACAACAAATTTAATTTAAGGCAAAAATCTCTACCTTCAATTTTGTAGTTTTAAAATGTTAAATTTTTTGCAATCTTCGAAAATACGGAGAGTTCAACGAAAATGAGAGCTGTGCTCTACTTTTAAGTTTCTTGTTCTATCTGTGAAAAAAATACGAAGAAAAAATTTGCTGGTGTGTCTTTCACTTTCAAGCACAAATTACGGAAGAACTACTTGTTTGTTTGTTTTTCAAAAGTTTGTTGTTGTTTTTTTTGAAGGTTTTTTTTGCTTGCGTACCATTATTTGATAGATTGCTGGTTCCCAACTCACCCACACTACCGTACAGTTCAACTGGATATAAAATGGCGGAAACGGCGGCACAAAGAAATGCGCTACTCCTTATAACTTGGGACTCTATGCAGGTGTATTTTATCACCTTGGGCCCAGATTAATTTGGGGGCCCCATCCTTACTTTCAGCTCCCCCACCCAATTTTGATTATGAAATATAAAGAAAATCCTATCACTTTGCATTTACTTTATATTTTTTTAAATATTTTGAAAGTATTTCTTAGTGTTTCAATTTAACATTATTCAATGTTGGAAACTTCATGCACATGAATGAATTTAAATTATTCAAAATAATTAACATTTTCCGATCAACCAGGAACATTCCATAACAAATATTATCCAATGATGGGCCACACCACTCCGTTACGCGACTTTTTTGCGTATAGTTTAATCATGCATTACTTTATATACGTTTTTATTTTATTTATTGAAGAATTAAGTATTAATTTGTTTTTAACTCTCGCGGGCCCTTTAACCTTGGGAGTCAGTGCCTGGGACCGTGAGTTAACACAGCACCAACTCTATGTGCCTCGTGCTCTGAGTGCCTTCTACAGCACCGCGCCGATCTCAATATTCCCAAACGTACCATGATCCTGGTATTTTTACCAGAATTTTAATAAGATACCATGTACCTGGATGAAGACATCCGGGAACGATTAAGTTTTCTCTAACATTTTTATTCAATAATTTAACACAAACACCAATATACTACAAATAACTGTGACATTTGTGAAAATAACTACCGTAAAAACATGAAGAGTGACATAGGATGGTATTTTTTTCCAGCACATGCTATAGCAGAAAAGGATACAACGTCTTAGTCGGCCATTTATAATGGAAATACTTTTTTCTTTCCACCATTTAGTTTATTGATATAAAATGTCTCGATATCGAGTTAAATTTAACGAACTTTCTATGAGATTTAAAAATATTATAGAATTTTAATATGAACAATTTCAGAATCAGTGTTTGTAGGCTTCTGCGGCCGGAGTCAATGCATTCTTGGCTATCCGGGATGAGCCGGGTCTCGGTCAATTGTACTGATGTTTCGGCCATCTTGCTGTGGCCTTCTTCAGAGCTATACTGCAGTGCTGTGTAAAAAATATTTTTTTATTATCATTGCATTGAATATACTTCTCGTGTGATAAATATTATGTTTATTTTAAAACCGAGTCTTGAATATATGATGCGCACTGTTGCCTGTGCTTGCGGCTCCTTTGCTGTAAAGTGGTGAGCTGTGATCGTGAGCGTTTCGTAGTTCCGTGGTTGGCGTTATATACTTATTTTTTGTGTAATTACACAGTTGTGAACCATGGTGTCGGGTTCCATAAACAAACACTGTACGAAGAGGCATGCCTGGACAGCTGTCGCGGCGGAGGGATACTTCTCTTATGTACATGTGATGTTCACTTGATAAGAGAACTGTCTCGTTCGTAGGCGGATTCTTCTACATCCGCACGCGATTGCTTGATTCCTTATTTCACAAGACACGAGAGGAGTGAGAGAGGTTTGGTCATTTTGTCGACGAGGCTATTGTATCAAATTAGTATCTCGTTTTCCGACGCAAAATAGATGCGCAACATTGATGTTGCATCTCTAGTGCAAATAACGACTTTTTGAATAAGTAATGAGAGAACGTAATTATTTCAATGTTCATGTTACAATAATTGTAAATTCTGTGAAAGGAGTGTACGGAATAGGAAACACTTGTTGCTCGCGAAGTTGTTGCTCGAAGGTGACAAGAGCTTCTGCTTCCGTTGGTGCTTTGCTCCGCGTACGGTGCCCTGATACGTATTAGGCGTGGCAGTTCCCAGTTTCAGTGGTTATAAAGAAAATGATAGTACTCGAGAAGTTTGAAATCGATTATGACAGTTATAATCGTGTTTGTATTGCAGGACAGCGTGTGACAGGACGTATTACTTTCTTTGCATCAACAACGAATTACATACGAGGTAAGTTTTCTTTGCAACAAGTAAAACCAACAGTAGTTGTGAGTTTGTACATCTGAGATAATTATTGGTCAAGAATTTAAATCGCAGTACGTTTAGAAAGAAATACGTGCTTGATAAATTGTGACTGGAACGCGGCATCCTGACATATTAGCTTAAATCAACGGAAGCAGATAGTTTACTCTCTGAATGTATTGATCGGAGCTGTGAGGAACGTACGCGTGTGATGTGGCAAGTGAAGAGCTCCCGAAATAGAAATTCAAGCTTGTGCACACTCCATGACATCGACATGAACCAACCACGATGAAGCAAATATGTGCCCGCCGAATTTGAAACATTTGCCACGCTAATTACATCTGAAACTAGTAGAGCTCTAAAGTGGTACTTTCTATTTGTAACGGTTACGTAGCGAACATTCAGAACTTGCAGTAAAACCTCAATGTTTTCGAAAACTGTAAAAATTACATTTTTTTCGACGCCGCCCTACAACTGCATTAAGAGATGGGTTTAAAATAATGACTTTTCCCTTTTATGATTTTCATTTTCTTTTTGGGCAGGGATATTCTTACATATCACAGGAGAAGCAGAAGTGGAGTTTCATGACCCATCGACTCTTCAATACAAAGCTAAAGAATTATATTTGGAAAAAATTGTTTGGGTGGTTAAAAGATCAGGTAAGATAATGTTGGTTTACTTTCATCGTATGTCTCTTTTCTTATTAGAAGGAAATAGGGAGTTGCAGCATACGATAGTAATTATCAGGGCTAGGATTTTTATGTAACTCCATATTTGTTTGTCCATTAGTTACAAGGAAACTTTTACCACATGTTTATGAATTAGGTTTTTACGCAATTTCAAATCTATTTGAATACCTATCCATATTTGTCCATATTTGTAGGTATAATACATATTTTCCCACGTAAAGAAAAACTCTCATTTCTTTGCAATTATTAACACTGGACCTAATACAATCCCCTCATTACCGTCTTTCATAATTATTCGTGAAAGATATTTTAAAACTTGTAACTGTATAATTTAAAGTGGCCAATTCAGGTTTAGATGTAGATCGGAATGTAACTTCACAGCACATTATTGTTGGTTCAAGAGGGATTCAATTACTACTTTGCCACTACTATATTGCTTTGATGTTTTGTAGCATTTTAACATCAAAGCAATATTAAGAGATAAAAATTGTAGTTTCACATTTAATCATTTAAAACTGTACTTGGAATTTGGTAAATGTCCAATTATCAAAAACTGTTTAAGTAAATTATTTTCAGTAACATAATAAATTTGAGTCGGATGATTAAATCTTGATCTACAGCAAATATTGTGGCGTTACCGAATACTTCACATTTAAATAATATTAATTTCAGTAATTTTCTTATAGTAGCCTGCCATAGAGAGCCGTCGCCCGCCTCACCGGCGCAAAGATTCTTCAACGCGCACGCAAACGCGCCCCCCTCCTTCCAATTCGCTACGCGCAGCTGCGACGCTTTCTTTGTGTAGGGGAACCCCCGGCTATCCAGACCTAGTTCGGGATCGGCCACTGCGAAACTTTTGAAAAGCGCCATTTCAGAAAGCAACATAGCCATCCCCTTCGAGCCTCTGCGCGTCACCAAGTGGCCATTGTAGGATTTATGTTAACTGCGACGCTGCTAGACCCACACGTAAACACGGAGATAGAAAGAGAAATGATAGTGTTTTTCGTAAACACAGTGATAGAAAGAGAATTGAGAGACAGAAAAAACTGGAAATTTTCCACTCTGATTTCCTTTTTAGAACGCCTTCAGCGATTGGGCAAGAGATTTTCACTGCGCTCTTTTATTTATCCTATCAATGACTAGATTCGAACATTTTGGAGAACTTCTAGGATTCTGGGAGGGGGAACGGGCTTTCGCAGACTCTTGAGCAGCGGACACGAGGAGAATACTTGCGGAAGTTGGAGACCTCAGACGTGTTTATCCTGAGCACGTAATGCGCTTGCACCTCTGCGTGCAGCGACTTGAGTTAATTTTGCAACTTCGGGCTTAGAAAATTTTCGATCTGCAGTTTTATCGGTTCACGTGATTTTATGTGCCGTGCTTGGCCTCAATTTATTGGATGAAGTAGTATAAGGTTAATTAAGTATTCACTTAATTAATCGCGTGTGTGTTCGTTAGTTTTATGAAATAAATTCACCACGTGGAACGAAATCTGCTGCCAGTATTTGATATAATCACGCGGAAGTGACTTCCGGGCGGAAGTGAACCGTAGCGACCGTTGCCTTACTCATCAATACCAGAGAAGAATTGTTTGATAGTGTCAACCGGCCAACTGAGTGAAGCTTTGCTCCCCGGCCGCCCGCCTCCGTCATCGAATGTCTCCAACCGCTCCGCCTTGGCCTGGCCGCCGTCTCAGCCGCAGCGATCTCCAGGGTCGCCCTTTGAGGGAAACCATTCAGCCGAGCGGGGCCATGAACTGCCATTACGGAGACGTGTATGAAAGGGATTAGCTGTAAGCCCTCAACTGCCCCTCAGGCAGCGAAATAAAACGAACTTTTGGATTCAGACATTCATTTCTCAATTTGTGTTTAAAAAAGACAGGATTATAAGCCGCGCTTTGGTTCTTAAAAGAATATTTTAATTTTAAGAATTTTTCTTATTTCGGTTAATTGGGGGGAGATTTTTCTCAAGATAGATCTATTATTATTGTTATTATTACTATTATTATTATTATTATTATTATTATTATTATTGCAATTTTTTGAGTCATTAAAACTTTATTTTACCTTTTTTTTTTGTTACTTCAATCGAAACAACCGTCATCCCTTGTTTTCAGGTCACCTTTCTACCTTCTGAGCTAGTCATAAGTAATCTAGAAAGGTATCTTTATCGTAGTCGCAAAGGACGACTACGTGGCAATATTAAAATTATGTTCTTTACCGTTCTATTTGTGTAATTTAAGCATTTACTCAATATATTTTCACTATTTTAATCATTTTATTTAATTGATGGTCTTTATTTTAGTGTTTTGAAGAGTTTTATCCCATTTTATGTACATATTGACACGTACCCATTTCTTTCTCCTTTCTATTATTTTCTTAATTTCTATTAATATTTGGGCTAGCTCAGGTATTTTTATTTTCTCTTTAATTAAAATGCTAATAAACACGTTATCACGATGCACAAATATCTCAGGGCTATATTTTTTTAATACCTTTAAAAGAGTTAGCCTGAAAACCACCGCACAGTACGAGTTCTCTGCTGATAGAACCTTTATTCTGGGAATTTGCGACCGATGGAGAAGTATTCCAGAATGTTACGAAACATTATAACACCAGAATTCATCCTAATTTCTATAGTGCAACAATTCATCGCCCCATTTATATTCATAAAATGTCATCCTCGTAAAAGCAACATTTAGATTTAAATTTATTTAGATTTATTTAGTCAAAAAACAGTAAAAACTGTATGTGACGTAGGGGGAGAAGATCATTTGCACACGTATTATTGAGGCCCAGAATCCCTTCCCATCATTTTAACTCTAAATAGTTGAAAGATGATTACTAGTTAAAGATATATAAATAAAAATAAAATTTAAAAAACCGCGAGATCAGCAACATTTGAAAAACTAGACGTTTTCGTTCCCGAGTTATAGAAAACTTATTTGCAATCGTAAACTAACTGCAGCTTTGATTTTTCTGCATTGCTTAAAAAAATAGTAACTCGCCCTTACCTGTACTCCTACCATTACAAGAAAAAGGAGAGTTAAACAAAATTTGCTCATATTGAAGCTACATTTACGTCCAGAAGCAAAACAAGGGGCCATCTCAGCAGTTCCTCAATGTATCAGGAAAACTGGACAAAAACCTGATCGAGATGACTTCCGACCTATATTTCAAGATGACATGTAATCACACTTGTAATTAATTAATTATTTTTATTATTATTCCATAAAAATCACCAAAGTTATAGCTACTGGTCGCATGTATAGCTACCTTTCAAACCAACCAATCCAACAAAGATTGGTGTAATCTATTGATTGATGGATGAAATTATAAATCTATCAGACCAAACTTATCATTCTACGGATTTAAGAAAGATAAACAATTAACTTATGACATCTAATTATAATTATTATCCGACGTTAAATCTTTCATACGTTCTCTAATCAAATAAATATAATCTTCATAGTTCGGTCTAGAGAGCGTAGTTTTGAAAATCATTGCAGGTGCGTCAAGCAGGAACCGACATAATATCGATAATAACAATAAATCGCCCGAGGGTTTCCGTAGAGCTACGAGCCGAATTTAACTTATGTGTGGTCTGGCGTCGCGTCAAGCCAACTCGCACTCGTTTTCGCCTCGAAAATACGTGGCAATTAATTTCAATTTGTAGCAATTAATTAACAATAATTCATTTGACATGTTTCATTACGGTGTGGTGACTTGGCTGTTCCAGTTTGACGTACCGATCGTTAGCGCTGTCGGCCGGCAGGGATGTCCATTCGATGAACCTTCCCTCTCGAGGCAATTTCGACGTAAAGTCCAATGTTTCCACGAGTGTACATTCACATCTTATTTATCGTAAATCTATTCCTGAATTTCCAGACACATATATGGAGCTGCCTCGTGGTCAAAGTGTTTATCCTTTTTCTTACACTCTCCCTCGTAACATTCCTTCTTCCTTTGAGGGAACTTATGGCCACGTGCGATACTTCGCAACGGTGAATGTCATTCGACGACAGGATACGAACTTTAAAAGTAAAGCTGTATTCACTGTTTTATCTCCTTTGGATTTGAACTTGGAGCCGGATATGCAGGTCATTAAATTTATTTATTTACTACCATTTTAACTTGCTTAATAAGTACAGTAAATTAGCAAGGTAAATAAATATTTTCTTCCTTTTTGCAGGAACCAGTACAAATAACTAAAAAAAAGTATTATTATCAGTGTTGCTGGCGCAATGGTCCAGTTACAGCGGCGATTAAAGTTCGCAAAGGATTTGTTCCTGGGCAAGAATTAAATGTTGAAACACAGTGTGACAATAGAACCTCCGAAGACGTGGGTATAAATTTGTATTTACTAAAGGTGTGTAATAGAAATTAATATGATTTATACCATCCCTTGCATAAGTGCCTGAAAGTATATGTTACAAACTTCCAAAATATGAAGAGATCGAAAATAATCCCTTTTTAATTTCCCGTTTACGTACGTATACACGGAGAAATATACTTAGTATAAGAAAGTTATGTAATGCTGCGGAAAAGATTTCGCAATTTCAATGGAAATACACGTTCAAATTTCAAAATATCCTAAAAAAGCCCATTTAAAAAAATTCTTGTAGTAGAGTAAAATACTCTTATAAAGGTCCAATTTTCACAGTTTTACTGTTATTTAACAGTCGTGAAAAATATTTTCGTTCTAATATTACAAAACCTAAAAATTAAGAAAATGTCAAAAAAATTCTTTGTGCGGCAATATTTGGCAGCTGACAAGAATATGTGGCAAGTTTGTATAGCTAGCAGAGACCAAAGGAAAACTAAAACGGGAAAGTCTGTGCCATTCTGTTGCACCACTAGTTACTTCGCGCGTGCTATTTAAGCGATATAGCGAAAGTAAGGGAGAGTTAGATTAACTGGTCTAATTTTTTAATTAGTTCTAAAATGTTATTTACTTGACCTATACACGTGAAATTTCACGTGAGTGAGATTTTCTCCATATATTGTGGGAAGAAACATCAGTGCTTACTGTTATTGTCGAATATGAAATGTTTTAAACATATGCAATAGGACCAGTTAAACTAATCAGTAAGGTTAAGTGGACTGGAAATTGAAATAAGCTGCGAAAATAGCATTGGTGTTTAATACACTGTTTTAATGAAAAAAAAAATTCTTTTACATATAAATGGAGAAAATATTTTGCAAATACTGTACTCTCTTCCAAATTCTCGTTAAAATAGCTCTTGTCTTTAAATATTTCCCTGTCGTCCATCAGAGGACATGAAAACTTCATCACAATATCTACTGTTGAAACAAAAGTAGTTTTGTTGGTCCGGGAGAGATGGCTTAGAGCATCAACTGATGTCACTGGTAATTGCAAATCTGCAAATAAGTTATTACCTTCGAACAGAAATAAATGGGGAACTGGACCGGTCCGCTTAACATAACGTCCCGGCGGTCCAGTTAACCTCACAGCACATTTTTAATTTCCCGTGTACGTACGTATATGCAGATAACGTATATACGTATGATATGGAAAGTTATGTAATGCTGCGAAAGTTGCGTAATGTTTTTTTTTTTCAAAAGTCTGTGCGTCCGTCCGTCCATCTTCCGCCTGTCTGCGTTTCTTTTGAACACTGACCATGAACTAACTCTTAGCACCTAACTATGCGTGGATTTTTTCCAAATTGAAGAAACCTCTGTCGATCTGGCTCGAGTCGAATCTTTGAGATTTTGAAAAAAAAATATTTAAAATTTGGTGGTACTTTACATGAAGAGCTTTATACATTTTCAAATTTTCTCAAAAACGGTTCCAAATATTTTCTTTAAATTTCTTTTGAGAATATAGTAAAATGCATTTATAAACATGTCATAGGTCAGATTTTCAAGTTTAACGCTGTTATCAAAAAATTCAAAATTTTTCGGGCGTTCTACAACTACAAAATTGAAGATAGAGATTTTGCCTTCAAATGAAATTTGCTGTACATAGTGAGTTCTGTTATTAAGGTCATGTACATTTTTTTTTTAAATTTGAGCAATTTTGTGTGAAAAATGTGCAATTTAAAAAAATTACAAAAGCAAGATTTTCTCAAAAACGGCTTCAATTTTTTTCTTTAATATAACGTAAAGACAAATTCGGTGTATTTTTTTACTTTTTCAAAAATTGCAGAAATCTAAATTTTTTTAACGATCTCTCACGCTATTGATATGCACATTTCCATCGATTTGTAAACACTATTGTATTTGTGAGTTAAAGTACTTAAAATGATTTCAAATTGAAGTTTTTGAAAAATAAAAAAAATCTGTGTGAAAGAGCTTCAAATTTTGAAGTTACAGTAGCGCTTAAACGCCAGTTTATTCAAAACGGGCCCAATTTTTTAAATTGCCATTTCGGACGAGGTTTTACTGTTCTTTTAATTATCTTAAAATAATATTTCCGCTCGGCAATTAGGAAACCAAAAGTTAATTGATGGTAATACATCGGTATACTAATACCTATCACTTCGGCCTTCGAGTCAACATAAAACACCTTTGAGCCTGTCTAACGCATAATTACCAACGAATTGTACGAATACACCTTGCTTGCGTATACCCTTGAAAGTATTACCGGAAAGCCTCCATTCTCTTCAACTGTTTACCCCTCAAGTTTATTCCTGCATAACTCACGCGTAAACGAATAATATCACAAACTACATTTCAGTCACTTTCTCTTCACTGATTCTCTTCACTGATTTTCTTCGATGATCAGTCTACTATGTTAGGATATTGGTGAAGTTTTCTAAAAAATATTCTTATTCTTCATAACGTATTACCTCCTTTCACATACTCAAATACTTCACTTCTTGATTACTGTTTTCTCATTCTTTGTCTGATAACTCTGTTTCAGATTGTAATATATAAGGGCAATTGTGAATGGTATGGAGAAAACACAAAGTATGATGAGAGTGTAGTCATCATGAAATATTTAGGTAAAGTGAAAGGACATGATTCTCATATTTGGAAAACACGTCTCATAGTTCCTGAACTACCTGCTTCATACATGAGACATTGTAGTATTATTGACATAGCTTACTTGATTAAGGTATGTATATTTTCATTTATTGTTGTTTGGCTATTGTATAGTAAGTCTATATTGTGATGACCACTACACGTTAGGCGACCAAATATGTGATGAGTCACCTGGGGGACCCACTGAGTATCGATAAACGCGCTGTACGTCCGTTACAGAAACTTCCCCCTATTTCCTCTATATTTACTTATTTTAGAGTAATAATAATCACTATACAAGTGTTGAACCGGTTTCTATTGGCTTGACAATCAATATTTCTAATACACAAGGAGTAATTATGGCCGTTTTAGAAATTTACTTTTGATCGTGAGTACGCAAAGCCTCTCCTCTACACGAAACAGGTGTTAATCATCTTATAGGATTTTTCAAACGTAACATGCCCCTCCTTCTTCACAAATTTAATAAAATAACAAAAAATATTTCAAGAAGTCATTGTCACCGCCAATGTTGGTGCAATGTATTTATTAATGACAAACAAATTTTCCACTGGGCGTCGTTGCATCTCTCCTAGGTAGTATACACAAACATAACATAAAAAACATTCAATGTAGCTTTCACGGCGTTTTCACATAATTAGACGTTCCTGGTTGTTAGGCCGTGGTCTAACGGGACGGGTCCATACGTTTCGCCTGCAATTGTGGCAGGCTTGTAGTGGCGTTGCGTGGTGGATGGCGAAGTGTCCCTTCTTGGCAGGGACTCGTATTTGTAGTGACGGGCGAGGTTCGCGCTTGCATTGCGTGCAGTCAGCGGTACAGGTTGGCTGCCGAGTTTTGGTGTTACGGATTGCTGTTTATTTTTTAACCTTCTTATTTTCTGTTGAAATTGTTTTTGTGTTTGTAAATCTCGATGGCTTCCATCTGGAGTCTCTTGTAGTAGTGTGTGGTGGTGGAGAGAACATCCGTCGCTTGAAAGCGCATGTCGAGTCTACGTCCCGACAGCGCGTGACCGGCGACTGCTGACTTATCAAAATGTCCTAGACGGCAGTTCCTTTTGTGTTCTTTTATTCCAGTATTGAAACTTCTCTATGTAGTATCTATGTATACGGAACCGCAAAGGCAAGGAATTCTGTACACTCTGGCTAGACACATGCGGTAATAGGGATCTTTGGCCGAGCATAATAGGTTCGGAGTTGTTGGGTAGGTTTAAAGATTGTTCTAACTCTGTGTACTGTTAACAGTCTCCCTATGCGGTCCGTTACCTTCTTAACAAAGTGCAGGAAAAATGCACCGAGTATTGTATCTTCTGTATGGTTTTGTCCAAGGGTCTTCCTGTTTTGGTGTAGAGCTCTTCTTACTTCGCTGGGGGTGTAACCGTGGGCTTGCAATGTCTTCTCGAGGTTCTTCTTAGTAGTTCGTACTCGGTAGTTCTTAGGGTATGTGGTCAAGTTCGCAAATGCGTTTAGCACGGTCGAAAAGGGTTTTAATCAGAGCTCCTTTTTGGCTGCGATGATGATTTGTGTTTTTGTGTAAATTACTATCCGTGTACGTAGGTTTCTCTATGCGGTAAACGTTATGTCCAAGGGACCCATTTGGATTCCTGTTGACCTAAGAAAGCTAGTTTTTTATCTTTTTCCATCTCCATAATAAATTGAATTCTTGGGTGGATATTATTGAGATGTTCCAGAAAATCCAACAAGTGTTCCCCCGTGACTCCAAACCACGAAAGTATCATCAACTTTGCGGGTTTATTCTGTTTTCTTTGAAATTGGTCATTTTATCATCCTCCAGGAATGTATTTTTCATAGCAATTAGTTTTAATGAACAATTAAATTCACAGTTCTTAGAAATTGCCACTTTATCCATTGCTGCGAATTTTAATTCTTTTGACACACTTCAAAATTTTTACGGACTTGGCGCAAAGCCTATTCTTTTAGTCGGTTATTATTAATCATGTTCCAATAATATCCAGCTGCAACGATGTGCAACTCTTGACAATTTTTTTTTTTTTCAGAAATTACTTATTTGATTTGTGGCGTACAGTTCGTGATAGAGATGCACAAATTATGCTAATTTCTATATAATTGAGAATATTAAAAATCAAATTTATTGAACGAATAGAAAATTTGATACAAAATTTGCCATTTATACCTTTTTTTTAAAAAAATGGAATAAAGATGAACATGGAGAACTTTTTTCAGAAGAAATTTGTTTTCTCTCAAGGCTACACGCAGGTAGTCGACGAAAACATTGCCTGAGCAACTCCAAAGGGCGCGGCGATGATGATTCCGCGCTCTCAAAGCTGTTTTTTTTAGTGAAAGCAGAATATATAATTTTATTTCAGAGATAAGGACAACAATATGTTTCTTGCCCTTGATAGCCAGTTCTACGTTTATTATAATTTTTTGTTCGTTTTATCGTTTTGACCTTTTGTTGTCCACTTGTATATTTTATGCGGAATTCAAGCCTTCTTGGTCGGCAGTTTTTTAATCAGTGGGTCAGCTGCTTTTGCAACATTCCTTTCATTAAATCTATTTAAATAAAAAAAAGTACTTCACCACGGGCGCCAATGACTTCCGTAGTTGAAGCGCCCTCTAAAACTCAATCAGTCAATGTGAGATAAATGAAGTACGAAGTGAAAATTGCATATGAGAATTAAGAGTAGCAATAAGAAAAGTTGTAAGTTTAAGATATGTTAGATATTAAGCACCCTCCATAAAATATCTATTTCAAAATAAAATAAATTATCAGAATATGAACGTATACGGGAGGGAAAAAACAAACAATTTATTACTTAAATTTATTGTTATTCCTTTCAGATAAAAGTTAAGATTGGCGGTTTCTGCTGTAGCCGACATTTTATGAACGTAAGTTCAGACGTGGTAGTTGGCACAGTACCTCTCGGAAATCACGGCCAGGCGATTTTTTCAGCAGATCCTGTTTTAACCGTAAGAGTGCGCCAAGCACCACCGTTTGCTGGCGCCACTGGAACCTCATATGTGCCTATTGTGAATCCACAGTCTTCTGAAACACGTAAATTATTTTAACTTACATAATTTGTTAAAATATTGACATTATATACGTTCTATAAAATAATTCTCTACCTCCCCACGTATGATTCGCTCCCCATAACCCATAAGCATTTAAAAACTGACCGCGTCACTACGAAATCAGACTAATATTTGGTGCTCTTCAAGCGACATCTGACGGTACAATGCCCTAGTTTTTGCGAATCGGTAGTTGTAGTGAATTTGGGAAGAGGAGAGAGGTACCTGGATTGGATATTCATTGAATTTCCAGGAAAGTAATAAATGCCTACGTTCTTATAAATAACACGTGAGAGACTGGATTTGCGATAGAAGAAACCTACTTTGTTCAGTCACCTTCACGTAACCATCTCGAGAATAAAGAACCCTTTTTTCATTAGCGTTTCTTAGATCAATCTGAAGGGGAAAAATTACAATGAAGTAAATAGTAAAGAAAAATCAACACTCGGTGTGTATTTCCTTTTTAAAAAATAAGTATATAAATGTAGTGTCTTTACTATCTATTAATGCCAGAGTTAAATTTTGTTCCGTCATTTTGACGGGTTATCCCTACACCGTACAATACAGTATTATTTAAAATTATATAAAAAAAGTATACAAACGTATTTTTTTAAATATCTCTCACGCCGGTAATATACACATTTCCAACAATGTTTAAATACTATTGTATTTGAAAATTAATGTGCTTAAAATGACTTCTAATGAAGTTTTCGAAAACACTACTTTTCTGTGAAAAAGTGCTTTAAACTTCTAATATACTGTAGCACTTAAGCGCCATTTTCTTAAAAACGGCTCCAAATTTTTCAAAGAAAATTACCATTTAGAACGCAGTTTTATTGTTCTTTAATGTTCTTAAAATAATATTTCCGTTCTATTATTAGTAAAGAAAAAAAATATCAGAAAAGTAAAAAAAAAATAATGAATTTTGGGCAGCGGTAGATGGCAACAGGCAAGAGTATGTGGCAAGTTCGAATAGCTAGCCGAGACCAAAAGAAATAGAAAATTAATACGGGAATTCTATGCCATTCTGTAGCACCACTTTAGTGCTTTAAAACGATATCTGGCGGTACAATCCAGTAGTTTTCGTAGCGCATTATTCAGTAGCTTGAGTGATTTTGGGTTATGGAAAGGGAACTGAACGGAAGAAACGGAACGTCATTTTTGACGGGTTACCTCTAGAATATCATATTATTTATATTGTTTATAAATCAGCCCGAGAATGTATATATATATAATCGCCCGGCAATTCTTCTATCAGCTCCATATTCAGTGCCTGAAGAGCATCCACCAGTGCCTTTTAATGAGCCCATCGTGCCTACTGCGCCCCCTTTGGGTCTGGAGACTTCCGAAATGCGTAAGTACTTTTCAGTTACCTAATTTGTAATAAGATTAATATTATGTACTATCTATAACATAACTCTCTGCCTCCCGCGTTTGTATAATTCTGTTAGAGTAAATGGGGCAGAATGGAATCTTGGAGATTTGAGAATGTTATTACTTATGACTTAATTATAAGCTGTTAAAAAATAATTTGTCAGATAGGCAAGTAACCAATGAGCAATAAACATTTAAAAAGATGGTCGCATGACTATGAAATCAGACTATTATTTAGTGCTCTTGGAATGATATCTGGCGGCACAATAGTTTTCTTAACGCGTTATTCAATAGCTTGAGTGATTTTAGTCTAAATGGGAATTTGGAGTGTAAACTCTTTGAATTTCCTGAACGGAAGAACGCCACGTCATTTTTGTCGGGGTACCCCTACAATATCATGTTATGTATATGTATATGTATATATATATAATATAATATATATTATAATTATATATATAATGTGTGTGTGTGTCAGTGTTGTGTGTTATATTACATTCAAATTATAACAGTTTCTTACCTTCTCGCGATTGTATAATTAAGATTGAGCAAACGGAAACTTGGGAATTTTTATATGTTAGTACTTATGATTTAGAGATATGCTGTCAATTATTTTTCGCGTAGGATTTTCCCAGGACGAAATAAATATTTAAAAACTGGTCTTACAGCTATGAAATCAGCAGTACCAGTTCCTTGGGATAGGCAAGGTACGGACACTATCTATCCTGATGAATATGCACTAGTTAAAATTTCATAATAATAAAAAAATATTTACTATTTTAATATTTGTAAGTATTATTTATCTGGAAATGTGTAATGAACATTTCATTATCGTGGCATGGGCCGTACGAGTATTTCAATTTGAAGCGTTTTCTAACAGTCCCACCATGCGACGTCTCGTCTCATCCCGCAATGGCAGGCTCGCTTCCTCGCAGGGTAAGCACTTGAGTGAGTTAGGGGTTAAAAGAGGAGAGTATTTGAAATGGAAATTCTTTGAATTTTCCGGAAAGGAAAAAAAGTTGTCATAACTTTTAGAACTGTTGTTGTAACGTTGCCATAGATATTTCAAAGGCGTAATAAATGCCTTCGTTATTATAATTAACACTTCAGAGGCTGGGTATGCTATAGAAGAAAACTTTGTTTACCTTCACGTAGCCCTCTCGAAAATAGAAAACACTTCTTTTTGTCAATAGAGTGTGCCACTGATCAATATGAAGAGAAAAAATTGCAATAAATTAAATAATAAAGGGCAAGAAAAACAACTCAGCGTGAATTTTGTTTCAAAAAAATATTCGTATAGTGTGTTTATTGTTTGTTTCTTTGTTGCGCGAATCAGCCGTCGTGGGACCACGCAATTCCACCGGGGCTCAGTATTGAATATCGGGGTAGGTGCACGTTACTTTCTATTGGAGGGATCAGCGTTATATCGATGATTCCGTTATTTACACACCAGGTTAGTCAGACCTGGGGAATAGGATGAAATTATGATGATTATGAATTATGAAATAGACATACACGAACATAAAGAGACACACACAACACAACCATGCCCGAGACAGGATTATAACCCGCGATCCTTTGGTTCGAGACCGCCACTGCAAACTGCGGCCTGGGCGATCTGGGCCATCGTATCCGTTTGTTTATTTTTTGTGAATGCAAGACTTGAATTTTGACATTTACATGACGTTCATAGCAGTGTCTCATAATAAATTTAGCAAACGGAGGCGTTTCGAAAATAATCCCCTTTCGCCTATGAAAATACTGAAGAAGTGAAGAAATTTCATAGAGCAAGTTATCTATGTGATTTTCCCCATGTTATTTTATGCAACCTCTTATGCATAGTTATTGGGTCACGTTCTGTCACCGCCAAAGATTTCATGAACCTGTCAAACTTTGTGCATATTGGGATGTCTTAATATCTGGAGCAAGTGCCACATGTTTAAATGCTTATAGCTAGACTGCGGAACTTGATGCACTAAGAAAAGGTTTGCATGCAACCAATTGACTTAAAATTTGCAAAATATGCACTGAAATAGTCAATATATGCACTTAAAACTTATAATATGTGTTAAACAAAAATCTAGTTAGCAAGAGTTAACATTTATTTATAGGCAATCTTCATTTTACCTTGTTATAAACACACTTATTTTCAAACATTATAATAAACAAAAAAATTTCAGTGAGAGAACCAATAGCACTGTTACAAGATGCAAAAACATTTAGCCGTTTCACTAAGTTCATCCGCATGATAGAAAAAGATGGGTGAGATATTGCGCATCGAATCAGACTTCAGCCAATGAGCTTCAGGCGCTAGTTTGCGTCTTAATATTAGCGGAAAGTTTAAATTCCGCCAGATACCAAAATTGTCAGCATTTTAAAAGTCATTGAAACAGATACGTGGAGCGTTTCTTCTAAATATTGTATTCTGTACACCATCGTGTTATTTTTGGTTGGTCACCGTTGAAACTTACCACTTCGTGCCCAAAAAATCTCAGTAATATGCAAAATAAAAAAATTGGTTGGATTTGTTTTATTTTGAGTGATGTATAAAATTACATACATTTCCTTCCGTTATGCGCAATCAGTAAAAATATGCAATTGCATGAAGTTCCGTGGTCTACTTATAACTCCGTTTTATTCTATTTCCCATTTACGTTTATTGTCGAAAAGTGATCATTTTCGACACGTCTTCGTGCCCTTTATTTGTAACTTTTTTCTGAAATATCTGTGTATCATCGCCGGAAAATTGTTCATCAGCTCCTGTTTGGAGGCCAGAAGAGCAACCACCACCATCCTTTTATGAAGCCATTGCTGCCCCTTGTCCACCTACTCAGGAGACATTCGATACAGGTAAATAATTTTCAGTCACCTAATTTGTAATAAGATTAATTTTATGTCATATGCATAACATAATTTCCTGCCTGCTCGCGATTTTATCAGTATTTGTGAGCAAATGGAGCAAGATAGAAGCCTGGTAATTTATAATAAAAATAAACATTTAAAAAAACAATATACATTTAAAAACTAACCGCGATGCTATAGAGTAAATTATTTTGTGCTACTGGAACGACATTTGGCGGTAGAATTCTTTCGTTTTCAATTCGGTAGCTTGAGTGAGTTTTGGGTTAAGGGAGGGGAAGTTGAAGTGGATTTTGAGAAGGAAATCCTGACATTAAATGCAGAACTGCCATAGTAGAAAGATGTAGTAATATCCTTCGTTCTCTCCATGAAGTCAGAGAGCCAATCTTGCGACGAGGCGTGAGGGTGCTTTTAGAAGAGCCCTACTTCCTCCGTGGTCCCCTGCTAGTAGCTCTCCAGAGTATAAAAGATTTTTATTAGTGTTTCCCAGAGAAATTTAACGGGAAAATTTTGCAATAAAGAAAATCTTAAAATTAAAGACAAATTTTTCAGTGTACTAGTTTTAAAAAATGTAAATATCGTGTTTACTTTCTCGCTACTACTTACGATGTAGCGAGAAAGTATTGTGATGTTGCGGGAAAAAAAACGAATTTTCGACTCAAACACTTTTTGCTGGGCCTGGTAACACAATGTGCATAAATCCTGCCATTATATGCAGTAAGTTACTTCCTCTAACACATTGTGGAGTCATAACCCATGTTGTGTGGGTCCTTGACACCGAAAAATTGATTGAGTGTAAAACGTCCTTCTGTGGTCAACGCTAGCGCCTTTGCTTCTATTTTGAGTGATATTTGTTTCTTTTCTCCAAAGGTGAGATTCCTTAATTGATCTGGCTGATGTCTCTGAACCTTGAGTTTGAAATCCATATTTTAATTTTGGGAGGTACTTTACATGAACCCCCTGGGGCATTTCTAAATGTTCAAGAAAGTGTCTTAATTTTTTGAATAAATTTTTTTGTTGGATAGCGTAAAGGACGCTTTAAAATGGTGTAGGTTTCCTTATCGTTGAGTTCCTAGTTTTTTGAAAATTGCAAAAGTGCAATTTTGGGTGTCTTTCTAATACAACTATATTATTGAAGATAGATATTTTCCCTTAATAAAACCTGTTCCTTAAATACAGTCCTTGAAATAAGGTCGTATTCAATTTTTAGAAAATATGAGTAGTTTTTGTGTAATTTTGCTAAAAATAAGGCAATTATTTTAAAATCTTTACAATTTTATTTTCAAAATTCGCTGAAAATTGGTTCTTTAATATATTTCATCATATGTAACGCTGCTCTACTGCAAAATGCGTGTTCCTACACTGTTTTGAGTGTGCAGTGAATTGTGGTGATTACAAGTAGTCAAACGTCTTTTATTAGGTAATAATAGGTTTGTGAAACTTATATATGTCAGTTTATGACAATGAATTCTGTACAGAGTTTACAGGATAAAAGTTTTCCTCAGCTTTCAAGTGAAGAAAAGTTGATAATAAAATATCTCGAAAGACCATTGCCAGATTTAATTATAGTGCATTTGTAAAAACAGGAAATATACCGTTTAAGACGGTTTTTAAGAAAGGTTTTAAAAATGCATGAGTCTGTGGATAAGGTGTCAAAAAATTCTGTTTTGCTACTACAAGCAAATTAGTGGGCCATACGAAAACCATTAGGTGGTTCTTGAATTTACGCCGAACTTTAACCGCTTAAAATTAAAGGGAAACAATATGTTTTTATCTGAAAGTCCGAGACTTGGAATGACGTATGTCTGCAACAACCTGGTTGGTGTGGTACCAGCCGCCACTGATCCAAATTACAAAATCAGTGTGAACCCTATATTAGACTATTTGAGAAAACTAGGCAGTAACATTAGTTTACTGTTACACTTCCTACATACTCAACGCTGACATTTTCCCCTATTGTCTTGGATTTTACTTCGGGGAACATGAACCAAGATATGAAAGTCATTGAAAGAATATACCACAGTGACAACTGTTTACATGGTTGGCAGACTACTGTTGTTCCCGGGAAATGGAAAGTACTTCTGATGCTCACGGAAGAAAAATATTTCCGTCTGCAAAATGAATAAAATTTCCGTCAATTGTTGGTAGTGCTTATGAAATGTACATGCACGCTCTTTACAATTACATGAATACATAATTCTAATAAATCATCACTTTCTTAATCATGACAAAGATCTTGTAAAATCAACACATTTGGTCATTTGTATTTATGAACATTTTCTTTACATTTTTGAAAAAAAATGTAAGTGATAGAGGAAAACTGTTACCATATTTGGAATCAGTACTTCAAATTCAGGAGAGACAAATCATTAAAAACGAAAGCATCAAAATTTTTTCAAAATATTTAGCACTGTAATAAAGAACGGTAAAAAAGATGGTACCCCATTTTCGGCCATATTTCAGTTTTTTCGATAATTACGAAAACTTAACATTTGGAAACTAAATCGAAGATAGACAGTTTTCCTCTCAAAAATCAGTTGATTAAATAATGCCATGTACATTTGTGTAAAAAATAGTAGTTATGGCGAAATGTCTGCTTGAAATTAATGAAATGCGTACTGGTGTGGGAGAGGGACAGAGAGAGGGAAGGAGAACCTCCGTGTAGATCGGCGTCGGCGTCGGATTTCGCCATCCGGCGGGGGAGGATCACTGTCTGTTTTTAGTCTAGGGCACATGACAGAGATTTATTTTTGTGTTCCAGGACCTCCAACGTATGAAGAGTACTTACGAATGAAGGAACAGACTCGTAATGAAGACGTTGAAGGAACGCGGGAAGAGGAGGTGCAGTAAAAAGCTGGTTCTCCACAAAAGCTGTTTGCCGCCTGCCTGCAGAGCGCGTTGCGCGCATCCTTGCGCAGGGGCTGTCGTGCTGCAAGCGAACGCAGAGTCCGCGCGAGTCACCAGTGCACTGGTCGACCGTTAAAGAGTCGACGCTCGCATTCTAACGGTCCACGGCCGCTAAAGAGCCGATGGCCGCATTCTGTCGATGACCGTTAAAGAGCAAAGCCGACGCTCGCATTCTAACGGTCGATGAACGCTAGAGCCGAGCCGACGCTCGCATTCCAACAGTCCACGGCCGCTAAAGAGCCAACGCTCGCATTCTAACGGTCCTAACGCATTCTAACGCTAATGAATCGAGCCGACGCTCGCATTCTAACGGTCCACGGCCGCTTGAGAGCCTATGGCCGCATTCTGTCGACGACCGTTAAAGAGCAAAGCCGACGCACGCATTCTAACGGTCGGCGAACGCTAAAGCCGAGCCGACGCTCGCATTCCAACAGTCCACGGCCGCTAAAGAGCCAACGCTCGCATTTTAACGGTCTACAAACGCTAAAGAGCCGAGCCGACGCTCGCATTCTAACGGTCGTCAAGTGCACAGGTATCTGGAGCAAACTACCATCTTTGCACTCTTAATACTCTGATCACTCATGCTTTTTTCAACACTCGTTGATGCCAAATACAATTGGGGGCGTGGTATCTGAAAAATACTTCGATGTGATTCGCAGTCATTTTATAAGTGATGGACAATTTAAGATAGGGCTGTTGTGCCCCCTACTATTTTTTTATTCCGTCACCTTGAGGATGTTCACAAGAAATGTCTATTCTAAAATATTTATCTAAAAGTAACATTAAATAATAGAGTAGATTTCTTTACTTGAAACAATTTATTATAAGTTCACAAATTGGCATACCAATAAGTTTCTTCCTTAATGTTTAATGTGGGTTTCTTTTGTAACACGGCAAATATCTCATCTGTACGAGATTTCTTACCAGATGCGCGAGAGCATCTGGTGTCAGCATCTACCTCAGCCAGGGCACCATTGATGATTTGGTTAGCCTCGTCTATACTTTAGAGGCATGTACGCCTGGTCTTTAAACTATCCCCACAGATAAAAGTCTAATGGCGTTAGATCAGGAGATTGTGGTGGCCAATACATGATTCCATCTCGTCCGATCCAATCAGGAACGGTGCGAGATGGGTAAGCCGTGTCCTCTCAGTGGTAATGGGGAAAAGTTCCATCTTGAAGGAAATTTATTTCACCCATCGACTCTTAAAGTTGCAGCATCAGGTAGATCTGCAACATATCTAGATATGAAATTCTCGTTAGAATCTGCTCATTAAAAAATTGTTCATAAAGGTTGACGGAACTCAATTCACAAAAGACTTTGTTTTGGTGAGCCGCGTGTACGAGAGTACGATTCAAGATCCGACAGTTTCTGGATGCCCCATATCTACATAATGTGGAACGTGGCATCACTGAACACTATCGTTTTGAGAAAATTAGTTTTAATTTTCCATTCTGTTCATCATGTACATACAGAATGCATACCGTTTCTGTTTGCCACTATCCCTCAATACCTGCATCAGCTGCAACTTGTACGCCTTACACTTTAGTCACCATCGTGAAAATCGCCAAATCGTAGTCTGAGCTTCAAATTAACTATCCTTGCGGATTTCTTAGAGTCTGTGAATACGTCTCCCTTGCGTCTTCTCCAACGTAGTCTACTACTCGCGAGCAATCTTGTCCTTTCTCTCGCTGTACCATACAACCTGTTTCCACGAACCACATTATATATATATATATATATATATATATATATATATATATATATATATTCTTTGGCTGAGGCGGAGATTTGTGATATTCCGTTCTGAATCTTCTTTGTACAACAATTGGTGAGTGCATGTCGTAGAACCACAAGCACCGCTTTGCACGTTTCTCACCGCTATACTAGTATGTCTCCTTTGCGGCTGTGGTGCCGCTCTTTTCGCCAAACGAGTTCCTGCAGAGACATATGGCAGAGTAGACGTAAAACTTGAGAACACGGCGCGGGGTTCAAAGAGTACCCGAATAAATGTCGGTCAATGGCTTTGAAATTATTGCATGTTAGTTTTAGATAACTAATTTAGAATAACCCTGTATTTATGTAGAGAGAATGCAAGAAACGTACACTCCTTTTCAGAAATATTATTTACAAGCATATTTCGTTGATTAAAGTATAATATTACGAGTTTAACTAGAAGCTGTACGAAGTCTGTGGAATTACGTGTGTATACCCTGTCCGTTTACATTGGTTTGATGAATTGATTCACTCACATACACATTCTCGTGTGATTTTCAACTTGATTATATTATTTTTATCGACGAAATCGGAACACAGGAAATACCTTGTGAAAACTATCCCTTACAAGCATTAAACTGAGAGTTTGAGGTATTATCAACTAGTGCTCGTAATCTGGTCAATGTAATGTATAGCAACAGCGCATAGAGCTGTCAGAGTCGTTTTTATTTTATTTATTTAATAGGTAATTATTACAAACAAATTAGATTACTTCATCCTATGTGGCTAGGCCGAAGGCCTTTAAGCCATTACAATACCTACATCCTTTCGCGTTCAATCTTTCGAATTCTGGTATTCACCCCAAATGTCTCTCCATCGCATCAAATCGCGGAAAAGAGACCATAAGACGGTCAGGAAAAAATCCCTGAAGGGGGAAAAACCTGCCGTCAGAAGCGATTACATCTTATCATCTATCGGACGTTTATTATTACTATTTATTTTCTGGTGCGGCGTCCCGCGTCTCCTTCCAGTGCTTGGCCTCCTCAGCACCTGAAATCAAACGGCGCCACAAAAGATCGTCCGCCCACCAACACCTCTCCCCTAGATTTTCGATCCCCCCTTTCCTTCCCCCCTTAATGTGTTTATTACTATGCCAGTTTTATTTTATTTATTATATTGACCTGTTATTTACCTATTGACTACGACTTATGACTTATTTCTTAACCTTTACTAAAACTTAATATACAATTACTGATTAAACTTACTTATTGTTAGCTTATTGACTTATTAATTTCTCTCCACATTCTAGGCTCCGCTCAAGCTAACCAGTGCTGTTTCCCACTCCCTAATATCAGTTTCCCTAATGGTTCCGAACCTTTCCTAAAAATGTTCCTAATTCTTTCATAAATAGACCTTTTGTCACCTAAAATGTTTTGGGCAAGCGTTACGTTCCTGTTTAGGAAGTAGTAATTTCCCATTCCCATCCATTTTTTCTTCATGTTTCGGTTGCACAGCAAATAAGAAGATGTGATCCAATCTTCCCTATCACCGCAAATCACACAGATGCCATTACCACTTGCGTCCTTTAGTCTACGCTGTATCCACCCGCAACCCGAACCAAGCGTATCCCCCTTTAGCGTCCTTTCAGAGAATGTACGGTAAAACTTTCGCCAACCCCATAATGGACTCGTATGATTTTGCAGCTACCAGCGAACGTTTTCCAGCAATGGCTGCCCAATCTTCTTAGCCTTTTTAATCCGGCAAGTCTGTGCGGAAATCAGCCTTTCTATCTCAGGGTTCCCCTATCACTCCACCTTCCGGGCCAGACGTCTCCCAAACCCTGCCGTCAACTTAGCCGTTTAATTTTGTACGCCCAGTAGCGATGGTCGCTTCCCTACCATTGCACTCAGAGTCGTTTATGCGCTGCCGGTACTGTAGTGTGCCTCTGGCCAAACACCAGGCAACAGTGAGCAGTCCAGGTGCTATAGATTTTGCTCATTGCTACTGAACTATATGAAAACGTTAGATGACGGGTGTTTTAACAATAACCGTTTAGTGTGCTTTTTCAGCTTCACAAACAAGGGCCAGAATCCAAATAATACAATAATCGATGCCAGGCATACGACTTGTCAAAAAAGAAAGTACCAAGCCCTTAGCCGTTTGCTGGATTACCAGAAGTACCAGTTGGTAGTCTAATGCACAATAATCCAATAAAGGAAATTGGCGTTGGCGTGGTCGGCTATCACTATCTCTGAAGCGCACTCGATCTCAGTCAAAACCTATTTTGCTCTTCCGGGTGCCACGCCGCCTGTTATATGCCCGTCGCCTCTGCTGGCCGAGTCTCTCTCCGATGGGTAGCTATCTGGTGGAGCGGGTACTTCCTCGTTGCGACGTAGGCTTTAATACAGAGCGCGCGCCTGCTTTAAAAGCCAGCTGTGCACACCAACTACCCAGAATATGATGCTATCGATAATAAACTTTAAAACTTGCTAATTTCTTGGGTACTTAATGCAGGAGAAACACCTTAAGAAAATGTTGAATTGTCAAAGGTTAAGGGTTTTTCTGAAAAAGAGTAATATTCTGTTGACAAGTTTTGGTCAGTTTTCCATGGAATAAGATTAGAAATGTTCACTCGTGCAGGGATATAAAACTCAAATATTCCCCAATGTACGGATCTGAGATTGTTTGCAACTTGACAACATACAAGTCTTCAACTGGATAATAATCTAGTATTGTCAGGACGCGTTGTACTACACATTTGTGGTGTTGCATAAATATTTTATTTTCAATATTCTTTGGAGCGTAATTTATTAACATGGGAGTCAATATTTTTTATACATTATGGGTGTGAAATGGCACTTCCAAAATAAGACTTCTTACAAGTTATTTTCTTAATCGTGCTTTACTGTAGTTAAATTGAAATACTGATAGCTAATATTTGCTTGTTTCATTATACGGCCAACTAATCTACAAAAATGAATATAATGATTATTAATGGCGTAGACTTTGGTTATAGATTCCTTTGCACACAAGATCTGAAAATTTCTTATTTTGGCGTTTAGAGCTTCTAAGTCTTCAATAATGAGCACACTACTCAAGAGTCGATGTTTTTCAGGCTTAACGCCCCGAATGAGTGCTCAGTTTTAAATATAATTATCGACAAAAAACTTGTGAATGCTTAGAAAAAGAGATAAAATCAGTTCCTATGGAAACATTGAAAAAAGTTATGATCGCGCTTCTCAGGAACTTGTGAATAAAATAACTACTACTCTTGAATATTAGAGTTAGATTTCTATCCAATCTCTCGATCCTAGCGACGCTGGCGGGTTGTGCTTGTATTCTATAAAGAGAAAATACGTGAATACGTGTAATCACTCTTGTTTCCAGAAGTATTATCTTTTGAGAGAGGTTCAAGATTATAATTGTAAGGATAATTAGCAATCCAAAATTTCAAAATATTTTTTTATTTCAAGTTACTACTTTAATGAAGTTATTTTTAACTTTTATTTATATTTTGATATTTTTTCTAAGAACTAAAAGGTAAGAGAACCAGTCAGACACAGAAACTATTTTTGCTTTAAGTATGCTACCGTATAAAAACCATATTTCT